TGCACCACTGGGTGGGCAAGGGGCAGGTGGTCTCTGGGACAGCCCTTTGTAGCCGTCAAGATTTCAGATAGCTTTATCAGCCTTATCTGTCTGTCCCCAAATTACTGCAGATAAGAAGAATGTGGAATCTCGCGCGGATCACGCCGTGGAAATCGGTGCCAGACGCCTGAAGATAGTCATCCAGCCGGGAGAAGAGGACCTGAGCAAGAGCCGGTTTACAAAGCAGGCATTCCCTAGCTGCCCCAGCCCCTCCAGCTCTTCCCCACCTCCTCAGCAGGAGCAGCAGGCAGACAAAGGCCGCGGAGGCACTGCAAGAGAAGTCATTACCAAAAAGGTACACCAGGAAGAACAGTAACAACCAGTGCCATGACTGCTTGTAGTTTCACAAGTCCTTTGTGTTGCTTTATGTTGCACTTCAATATTTCGTGCCAAGTGTGTTCATTCATGTTACAGAATGTTCAATGTCAGTTACATTATCTTAGTCAATAAAATGGGGGCAAGGAATGACTTTGGAATGCTGGACCACAGGACATCCATACATGCTAACAGGCAGCGTGTTCTCCAGCATGGCTTTGGCATGTGCCAACCACTATTCCTCAAAGCAGCACCCTGGCAGGTTTCAGGGGTAGCATGCACGAAGGACTGCTTCCAAAAGGTGGAAGAATTGTGTAAAATTTGGATCCCTCCCTGCAACACAGATCTCTAACACTATTTCAGCACATTTTGCACCTTCCAACAGCCCTAATTACTTTCATCCTTTACCTCAGTGTTAAAAATGTCTGCTCTGATGGGGTGTAGCACAGCAAACACTGTTTCAGACACTTTGAACTAGTTACTCAGAAAAGAGTGACTGTGTGTTAGGGACATGGGGTAAGGCCAGGCTACGCATTACATGATGTGGATATGACTGTACGGAGACACTGGTATCTGCCCCAGAGGGTTTACCCTATTTTGCGTAGTAGCACAGATGTAGCTTTTGAGGTTTAGCATGTGCTAACATAGTGGTTACCTCCATCTGTATCAGTATACTGCAAATTTCTCTATCCTTCTGTCTGTGCAAAGTAGGGATGTGAACGTTTGTTACTATCTTTCAGAATCCCATTTTCTGCCTTAATCCTGAGTTACTAAAGCATGACTTTTTTTTAAAGACTCTTTTTTAAAGAAAGAGAGTAAGAGAAAACTAGCAGTCTAATACAATTAAAGAACAATGCGATATTAAATGTGCTGTTAAAACATCTTGAAGCTCTGTCACTTGACACTAAGGGGACAGGCAGGTTCTTTTGGGGATTCTTGGTGAATGATGATGCCCCTAAGTTATAGTTACACTTAAAGCTTTATTTTTTTAACAGGATTCTGTGATTAACATAGCATAGAATTAATGATCAGAATAGCACAGGATTTCTACAAGCAGAATCGGTGTAGGACAATTTTATAAATAGCATAGCACTGAATTTTATAGCAAATCTTAGCTTGTGGTTTCTAATCACTTCTGCAGATCATGTCAAATCTTAGTACTTGGCTTGCTGTATCGATGTAAATTATCTAGACTTGAAAAACCACATAACCCCCCCCCCCACCCCCGCTCAGTCCTCAGAGAAAGCAGAGAATGGTGGGGTATCCCTAGCCACTGGGGGATCATGGGTCTCACTGTCCAGGAGCAGCTGTGATCGAGGTTCCCACCTGGGACTTGTAGCTGCTTGATTTTGTAGACAGTGTTCTGCAATGCTGTTTAGCTTCAAGGCCAGTAAGGAGGGGAGTAGTTGGCCTGGTGCCCAGGAACCTTGAGGATAATAGGGAGAGGAAGAAAAAATCTGTTTGCTTCATTTACTTGATGCACAGGACCTTCAGGGCCCGATAATGAGAGGGAAAAGGACTAATACATGACCAGCTCAGTTACAGGGAATGACTGTTTGCCTTATTAAATGGCATTAGTTAACGCTAAGCGTATTACTGGCGGTCAGGAGCAGAGGGTCACAGTCTCAAACTAAGTAGCAAAGTTATTGTCTTTGTTCCTGCAATGCTGATGACATTAACAAGTTCCACTTTTGCTGCCGACTTAGAAGCAAGTTGCTTTACTTACATATGTGTAATGTCAGTATACATGACAAAAAAGAAACGCTATGTGCAAATGTGTCTATGGTAACCTACCCCCACAGAGATGTACCAGAGCTTTTCCATACTGAAAATATAGAAGCAGCAAGCAGACAATCTTAGAAAAAATAAATACTGATTTCTCCTTGTCTTTTTAGATATTTCTTACAGTATCTGCGACTTTGAATACCAGTATGTTCACTGAACAGCAAAGGAAGAGAATTACCATTATATGTCCAAATTTAAAGAGAGAAGGAAATCCTGATATTGATGGATCTGAGAAATTGACAGGAGATTTTGCAGACATTGAGAAAGCTTATTGCTACTTTAAGGATATTCTTGCAGGCAATGACCTGAACTGTGATTTTTCACATTCTGAAAGTAAGAATGGTTTGAAAGACGAAAATGGTCTGAATACTGAAGAACTGAATGAGTTTACAGTTCCATCAGCTCTGTATGAATATTTCAGTCATACCTGCAAAGAGCAAATCAAAGTACTACGTGAGCATTTTGGAGTGCGTATAAGAAGCAAAGATTGTTACAATGGAAACACATCAGTAGGCTTCACTTCTGATAGAAGTCCTGCACCAATACAAAAAGCTAAAGATTTTTTTATCAGAACTTTTCAGAAAAGTGTGGAAAATCTGAGACAGGAAGAACTTCCTGTCACAAACAGTTACACATTAAGTGAGACAATAACGAAATTAAATGCCAAGTTTAATAATCTTCTTGCCAAAGAGGAAGGGAATCAGTTGCTACTTCGTGGTCCAGCGAGTGAGATTTTGGCTGCCAAAAAATTTCTAGCAGACGAAGGTGAGAACAGCCAAGCTGGAAAGAATATGAAAATGTCATCTGAACTGTACAAATACAGGAATGGAATTGAAGTTGATGCTTCTGTGTTTAAGTTGTTGGAGACAATATTAAGCAAAGAAATTGAAGGCATTAAAGACAAATTTGATAGCACAATTGAAAAGAAAAACATTTCATGTGACCAGAAGATGCTGATAATATTTAGGCCCAGGATCAAAACTTTTGATATGTCTTCACATGCTACCGAATGTTTCATCAATGCATTTCAGAGCGCCTCTGCAATGTTAAGGGAAAAAATCATCAGCTTGAAGCTTTCAGAAGGTCAGAAGAAAAGATTAAATATGTTACTTACTGGAAAACAATTGGAAAATCTGCATGTAAAGCTTCAGAAGAAGGAAGACAAATTCATGTTAATTGGCTTACCAAACCATCTTTCTGATGCTGAAAAGTACATTATGAACTTTCTCATCATTGAAGACTCACAACAAACTAAAAATAGGACACCACTGACCTCTGATCTCAGCTATCAAGAACCTACAGGAGCATCTAAGAAGAAATACAATGGCAGGCAAAAGAATAATCTTTCTTCTGAAGGACAGGCTAAGGCAAAGACAGAAGAAAATAACGAAGATACATGTCCAATTTGCATGGAGATAATTAGTAACAAAGAAACACTGACAAAGTGCAAACATGTGTTTTGCAAAAGTTGCATTGACCAGGCCATGACTTACAAGCAAGCTTGTCCTATTTGCAGTACTTTCTACGGAGTCATGAAAGGAGACCAACCAGAGGGGAAAATGTCAAGTAGAATTCTGTCTTCAGCTCTCCCTGGTTATCCCAGTTGCGGTACTATTGAGATTACATATCATATGCACAGTGGTATTCAAACTGTAAGTATATTTAAAGATTCATAAAAGAGATTTTTCCCACAACAAAACCAATATTAAACATAAAATTAACTATTTTCCGTTCATTTTAATGCTCATCCAGGAGAGACATTTCTTTATTCTGTACAAACCTGCAAGTATTTAATTCAGTATTTTTGGGTGCAATTAAGTAATGCAGTAGGAATTAAAAAGTTAAATAGTAGCCGTTGTATTTGCAGCAGGACAGAGTTACCTGTCTGTAGTTTGCACATTTGGGATAACTGAACTGAAATCTATGGAGTAATATGATTTAAACATTTTGTGAGTATAGTGAGGATTTTCTGAGGAATTCTCTTAGCTGTGGACACCAGTGGACCAAAATGAATACTGGGCTTGCTTGTGAGCTTTTCAGGTGAGATATCAGCTTATGTTGTGTGCTTAGAGTCACGACTAAGACTAAAAATGGGATGAATGAAAAAGTCAGGGGTGGGGTGACATGCATTTCAGAGAGCGAAGATGAGAAAACAAATTTAAAAATAACAATGGATACATGAGTGATGACAAGAAAATGTGAATGAAACTTCTATGAAAGAAACTACCTAGTGAGAAAACTCCTCAAAATCAGTCATCAGTCATGCTATGTCCTCCTGAATCAAAGACGGGATAAAAAGTGTTGCAAAAGCTGGGATGTGTCATTTTCACACTTTCAAAGCATTTATGATATACAATGGGTTTTTTGTTTTTTTGTTTTTTACAAAACAGAGCAACCATCCAAACCCAGGGAAACCTTATTTTTCAACTTTTCGAAAAGCCTATTTACCTGACAATAAAGAAGGGCGAGAAATTCTGCAGCTCCTCGGAAAAGCCTTTAACCAAAAATTGATTTTCACAGTGGGGGAGTCACGTACTACTGGTGCAACAGGTGTTATCACATGGAACGATATTCACCACAAAACTTCCATGGTGGGAGGACCTACCAAGTAAGTAGTCTTCTCTTCATGTAATTTTATTGCTCTTCATGTAATTTTATTTATTAGATGAGTCAGGAAGGCTACCCTCAATATTTTCCACATTAGAACTTTCAGATTTTGTCATTGACAAAGTGATTGCGGAATGCGCTATGGATCCCAACTTGAGTCACCTCACCAAGTTGGACATCCAAACAGCTGAACAGGATGAGCTCAGTCTTCTGTTGCCCTTCAGGCTACTCATTCACCAGTGAACTGTGTAAAGCACCTACTCAGTTAACAACTGCTCTGGTTAGAGACTACTTATAGTACAGGACAGGACAGCAAGCTCTTGATAGCACCTAAGGTTGAATTCCTGATCCTGGCCACTTCTGTTACCTGTTGTACTGCACCAGGAGGTGCTGGTGTGTTATGACCCCAGTAAAGATAGTACTCAGACTCTGTAAAACGTGATTTCAAATTCTACGTATAAGGGCTAACAGCAAGAAGAGATTGTAGTATAGATATGATTCTGTTCTTTTAGATGCTATGAACCCTGAGTTGTGCAGCATTCAGGGGGCCTCTGATCAGAGCAGAGGATGCCATGCCAACACCATACATAGTAGGGGTTACCTCATTTTGGTCGTTTGAGCTATTACAGGATTTTCTTAGTAGAAGACAATCTCTGTTCAGTATTTCTTGAGGACTTGCTGCACTTCTAGATAAAGGCAAGGATGCACAGATGGTGTAATCACCAGTACCAAGTGGGAGCTGCCCGAGTCTGTCACGCAGCCATGGGAAGTGCCCAGCACAACACAGCCCTGAAGGCCACACTGCACATCCAGCACAGCACAGCATGGTACAGGCCTGGGCCTGTCCCAGTGAACTGTGGATCACTAATTCCTCAATGTGTAACAGCCTTCTGGTCAGCATCACTACATTCCACCCCTTAATGCACACACCACTGGCCATTCTGAAAGATATGATTAACTACAGATAATACCAGTAAATTGTTTGGCTCCTTGGAAAAGTCTTACAGAGACAAGAGGAAGGCTTGGAACAATCCATTCAAGCTTGTTTCAGCCTCTCAGGGGCAGATGTCTTCTTGCAAGCTCTCAAGGTTTATGTCTAGATACCCCTTCTTGGGCTAGGATCATAAAAGAACTGAAAGTATTAGTTTTACTTTATCACTTCCTCTGCCCAGCTGTTCTCCCTGGTTATCACTTGCTTCATACCTACTTTTGGTGATGCACTACTTAAAATCCAGAGGTGTCATTATATTTGTGTTTTGGATGCCCACTTGGATACACTTTGGCTCTGATTTTTACAAAGATGCATGCCCAACTGCCCTATCATTTTCAAATTTTTATTTTTTCATTTTCAAAAGCAGGCAGCTTCGAAAATCAAGTTCTTGGTGTCAGTTTGGTCAACCAAATTCAGCAGCACCTTTTTTTAAATTTTTAGCTTTACAGTTGTACCACCTCTCTAATCTGCAAAATAGGATCTGTTTTCTTTGTAGAGTAAAAGGAAATGCATAAAATTTGTAAAGTGTTCTAAGAGATTTTGATGAGAAGGTTCTGTAGAACTGTGAAGTGCTTCATTGCAGAAGTATTCTTTTTTCTTCTCCTAGCTTTGGTTATCCTGATCCTGATTATCTGCACCGCGTTCGATTGGAATTGAAAGCAAAAGGAATTGAATAAAGAAATTTATCAACTGTCAACTCTTAAGTACAGTAACTGAACATGTAGCACTTAATTTATTATTCAATCACTAAGAAGAAATTACTTTGTTCAACTGCTGCACTTAAACCACTTGTATTTCACAGTCAGCTAAGAAAAGCAATCTTTTCCATCAGGTGATATATGTTCTTTTTACACATCATTTACTTCCTTGAATAATGCTTCTCTATATGTGTAGCCTTTACAGAATTTGGGTCTTGTAAGTACAGCATCAGTACTCATTGCTTTTGTTGAATTTCAAATTGTGTATCTTACTTTACCAGTGAATCTGATCTGCACTTTTTTCCCACAAGTCCTCAGCCTGATCACCAATACTGTCAGATCCACTACTAGCTTTTGTATGACACAATGCTTTAGGTTTGTGTTATTACCTCTATCATCATGGATAGCATCAGGTAACCCATCTGCTTGGAAAATTTCTATGCAGCTGTTACAGCGTCAGCTGTGATCAGGCTGTGATCTTTTGCTTATTTTCCTTTTCAGGGTAAAAATGGCAGTAGTGGTTTGGGGTTTACACATTAAATTAGCATGGATAATTTATGAGAAGGTGCATGGATGCTGCTGTGGTGATTTTAACCTGTTGGAGTGCTAAATGCTCAGAGCCACGTTGGAGTGAATGGAAAGTAAATGGTGCCTGTAGCCGTCTCTGATCATGGGGTCCTGATTCTATGCCTTCCATTGTGTTTGAGCTTAAATACAACTTTTACATCAGCTTTACAACTATAAAACTATATTCTTCCCATTGCTTCTAATATATGCTTTAAATTGTATAATAAAGATACCTTGTTGCTGTGCTCTGCACAGCCTAAATACCCTGAAAATTACCTTTGGGGGGTATAAAGCAAGTAGCTTTTGCATAGTGCAGCCATAATTTTTAGTGAGTAAGACCGTTTTTGTTAGGCTATTGAACATAACCAATAAATAAAATATAAAAATACCATTCTTCCGTACAGCTTTTCCCTCCTGTTTTAGATAAGTATAGTTGTTGGGTTTTTTTTCAATTTAGGAATTTCCCACTACCACCATGACTTGGGGTGATTTGGACCCCATGCCGCCTCCTTTTCTTGCTCTTTATTTTAGTTTCCTACACTGTGAATACGCATTACTATTTTACCTCCCTGCCTTTCAGGTGTCACAGCACTGTTTGGTTTCCATGTGAGTTACAGTATCTTTTCTAGTGTGGTTTTGTTTACCACATTTGTTTTCACATTTTACACTATTTCATGTTTCCTCCTTTTCTATGCAGTAAGATACCAACATTCACTTGTTTCCAAATGGCTGTGCTTTCTGCACAGTGAGCAAGCTGTGAAGGTCAAATCTTTGCACCTTCTTTCAGTCTCTCGTGTTGCTTTCTGTCCCGGTTAGCCAGTTCGTCAGCGTTGGGCCCCTGTCTGATAACTCACTGGCACCCGTTTTATCTGTGGCAAAGTCTCCAGGCTGAGTTTTGCAGTGGAGGCCTGCTGACTGAAAGCTCCCAGGCCCTTTATCCTATAACCACCTGTACTGTTTATGAAGAAATCTACCCAATCTGCAATCAAAGTCAGATGGTTTGCCTGGATTACAGCAAGGGAGGAGAGCATGCACCTGGATAAACTATTGAGAGAATAGTACACTAAGAAACAAAAGATTAATGGCCCACTGAGAAACAAAGGCAACCCCGTAGGCCCACTCAGCATGTGTGACAAAACCAAATCTCATTTATCTGCTGTTTTAGTGTCTCAGGTTTGGGCACATTAGTAAAATACACAGCAAAAAATAGCTAAAACTTTGCAAGGGGAAGTCGTGGGGGCATGGTTGAAAATGTCTCAGCTAGCTGACACGTTGGTCTGAGGAACACACT